GGATCCGCGAAGAATTTGAGTGTACAAAGCAAAAAAACTTCAGGTTTCCTAAAAACTGTGAATTTGATTAACCTCTACCGACTTTAGCGTCAGTCACAGGTGATGTCACAGTCAACACAATTGCGATTTGAGTAACTTGATACCCCCTGATGATAAGGTACACTCAAATGTGATAACCCTCAAGATATCTGGTACACTAAACTTTCAAATAAAAATGCGTAAAAAGTAAGAGCAACGTGATGAACATCACAGTACGCAGATGGAGCATCAGGCTTCAAAAATGAATGATGGCACAAGAATCAAAAAAGTCGCAAAAAAATTATGGCAGCCATAGAAAAATAAGACGCTCTTTGGGATTTGCATGTGTGCACGTAATGCCATGAGTTCATCGTAAGTTTACTCATCCTTGAATACTGTTCATTAATTGTAAATTAACCACGATCTTTGATAATACGGGAAGAAAGCTCCCAGTAATTAGTCCGGATAATCAAGATTCCACTGGAGTTGAATGGCCTCCACCCGGAAGCCTGAAGTTACATAACATAACACAAAACACATAAAAAAGCAATTCCAGAAAAATGTTTCATGAAGTACTACAGTTTAATGTTGCTGCATCACGTTCGAAGAGACTCAACGCACGGAAAATAATTTCGAACTCGATCCGCTTTTAGCAAATGGCCCTTCGGTCATTACAGGCACAAATGCACTCTCCAAAAAAATACTACACGCCGCTACTTTGAATACTTCAGTTCCCATTGTTCCACGCCATTCTTTTCCCTTGCAACATTGAGCATGAACTTTTAAGGGGCTATTTGTGAAACACACGATGCTCTTTTGAAGTACGGGCAAATGACTGAAAACAACAAGATGTGAGAATTTCTGTAAACGTTCAAGAATGGGAAAACGTTACAGGCAAATGCTGCATAATTCGCTATTTACGAGTCTCGAATAAAGGCCATAATCGAAATACAATATTAACAGGTCAAATTGTGGTTTCAGAAGTGTTGAAATTTCATATGTGAGCTTCCCGCTTATCTTTTAAATTTTCTATGATCTCGAGAACGATATTCGAGTTAATGTCACACTGTTGAGACTAAAATTTAGCCCATGCAGTACTCAAATATCGCGATGAAAAAAATCCATCATTTTTAATTTTTTTTACTTCGGAGTCCACTCAGCACACTTCCCTCCTCCTAAATTCGGCAACATTCTCAGAAAATTAGCAGTTTCATCCATTTTTCCGTGCACTGTACACCTGAAAGCCTTCAACTCTTCTGGAATTTTGAGGATTTCTTCGTGGAATATCTGCCCAATACTGGAACTCGGCTTATACAGATGAACGCCCCTGAATCAAAACCTCAACAACGACATATTCCACGTATAAATTTTTAAGGGCCTCTGATGACCGCATACAAATGCTTGAATAGCTGCTATAAAATGATTTTCTCCACACTTCTGTATAACGTTATTGCCTGAACTTCGGTTGGCACTACTCGTGATGAAATATCGAAAAATAAATTTAAAAACGTACCTTGAGAACCTCGTAGCGATAAGCAACGTGGTCGTGCGTAATGTGCGTGTAAGACCCCTGTTCGTCGTCATAGCCATTATTGTTCGGACTGCCGATGACCCCGGGTCGTTTCTTGGCGTTTGCCCCGATGAAAAATATCTGCGGGTAGCTGTAAATCTCCTGCTGCTCGTACGGCGTCAACTTGGACGCGTACAACTTCAGCACCTGATCCGGTGTAGCACCCGTTCGCGATGGCGGCTTTTGCGGCGAAGGCGACGGTGCCGGAGCCGCACTGGCGCCACTGCTCACCTCTTCCCGAGACGCGGGCAACGGGGAACAGTCCGCAGTACCACCGCCGTTGGCAGCAGCAGCACCAACACCAACACCGCCCGGGATGGGTGGCGCGGGTGGCCCGAAACCCAGAGGCGGCTGGGCGCCCATGACGAGGTTCGGAGCCAGTTTGGCCGGGGACGCCTGAAGGAGACTCACGGTGGATTTGAGCGGCGGGAGCGCGATCACGGCGCCCTGGCAGATGTCGGTCACGGATCCGGCGCCGTAGCCGTCGTCGCCCGCGCACTGGACACTCACTGGCTCGCTGATGCCGCCGAGAAACGACCGCGCTCGGGTCAGGGGCATAGTTAGCATTCGCGAACGGCGCCACTCTCCGACGACGGCGTCGGCAACGCGGACCCACGCCGAGTCTGCACCATCATTCGCTCGATCGAACCGATCCCCTGCAGATTCCCTTCACTCACTCGAAACCCACCTTCAAATGCTGCTTGTAATGAAAATACAGTACGTTAATAAAATCTCCACAAGCTTGGATATCGAGTTACGTTTTTTCGATGATTTTCAATGATTTGCTCGAAAGCTTGGTGGGCATAGAACAACTTTGAATGTCGTCGTTCACTGCTTCAGAAAGTTCTCCAGAGTCTAAACTGAACTGATTCACTGTCCAAACTCCAAACTACCTTTCAACTCTTTCAAGTGCATCTTCTTTTGTTATTCATTCTAAACCGAATGAAAAATGATGGGATGAATAAGGTATTCACTTCGACGGGGGCGAAAAGACGTGTTGATGATCGGATTTATGAAATAACCCATTTTATTGTCAATTTTTTTTCACGTGAAGGAATCATTGCGGACGGATGATGCGATTCTTTGTCTTCTGATATTCCTAAAAAGTTCATTTTAATTTCACGAATCTTGTTCTAATAATCGGATTCATTATCTCTGATGCACCCGGAGATTCTTTTGATTTACACTTAGATATGAATCACTTGAAAATCGCTGATTGTGCGAACAGCATAGTCACCAAATTTCCTCAGAAAACCACAATAAGTTGGCACAGCAATCTTGACTGAACTAATGGTGGACTGCTAAATCATCTGATCCTTCTCAACCTCAAGGCACACTTAATCCGTGTGCACTGGATAATGAATATTTTTTGAAGTTTCGCTTGCAAACGATAACTCGTTTTCTTCCCTCAGAAGAAGCCGCAGACGAAATACGCAAATCTGGATCAACTGATCAAAGTGTTCATTGATGAAGAGCACGAATTTTGCATCTGATTGTCACCTGAAAACGTTCACCATCATGATCAAATCTATTTTCCGTCGAACAAATTAGAAAAATTACACTTCATCGAGAATAGAAGGAAGATTTCAAGTACTGTACTACAAAAAAGAACGAACAAATTGAGCGGACACACGTTTTTAAAAAATCACAGAGAAGAGCCAGTCACAGAGCGAACGAAATACGCTGATTGCCAAAAATTAACTTCTTATGTAACTCAGAGGAAGCCCTGACCTAGAAAGAAGGTACAGGAGAATCTCGTTGCAACGAAGCGTTTGGGACCAAACAAAAAAGCTTCGTGACAGACGAAAATTCTTCAAAACAGAAGTTCAAAAAATGTGTGGCTATTGGACAAGGACCACAAAAACAAATTCGTTGTTAGCATCCAATTTCGGTAAAGTGATTCGTTGCAACGAGATTATATTTTAACATGGTTGAATTTCCCCACAATTTCACTTCCGAAACTTGAAAGTCATCACTTCGCATTGATTGCCGACAATCGTGAAAAAAAAAAAGTATCTCGTGGATTTCACATCATGCGAAAACCTCGCGAAGGGATTCCACATTCATCCTGCAACGAAGGTCAAAAAATTCGAAATTAACAAAATGGTCATCATCGCATGAAATATGAAATCATCGATTAAAACGAAGCATTCTGTCCACTTTCAAATTTCTGTGAAATAGTTCGCGCAACGGTCTATAAAAATATCAAAAATTCATGATCACATCACAACAATTCCGCAGCGAGGATGGCAGGGGTATTACAATCTACAGGCTCCCAAACCTCTCTCCTTCATTCACGTCAGTAAATTCATCGAATTCCGCCATTTTCTTCTGGACTAGCCATTGCTGATCAAATTCGTCGTCCGACTCTCCTCCATCTTCACATGTGCCCAAACGCAAATTCGTCTTCACGCTACACAACCGCCTACGAATTGAACAGCCTACGTCAGCATAAATGTGGCTGATTTCACGGAAATTAAATTTCAGCGCAGTATAAAAAATATGAACATATGATTTCTGTTCAGAGTTTAACAACCCAGGGAAGTATAATGCTGTACATCGCAAAATAATGGAATCTATTGATAGGAATATTTACGAATATTCAAGTTATTCTCACATCAAAGCTTAACGTTGGATGAAGCGATTTATTTCACGCCATTCCAGACGACATCAAAAATTCAATTTTAAAATTTAAAATACAGTACTGTATATACAAATATACAGTACAAGTATGCCGTGTGATCGGAGTTCGTGGAATACTCCACAGGATTGCCAACCATTGGCACAGCAACACATTCCAGTGCTATAATGGACAGGAACAGATCTTGCTTATACAGTACATGTATTTCAAATGGGAAAGGTGATCTGTCAGTTATCTGTCAATTTTGTTATAAACATAATTCGGTCGTTAATTCGCCTTTATTCATGATACTAAAATTATCACAGTGGCATTAACCATTACCAGAACAAACGTTTGAGGGGTACATGTACTTCTTCAGAATTTCTTACAATTTAAAAAAATCATTAAATTCTCCTGGTAACCGTGATTTACAAACAGAAAGTTTGAAAAGCACTACTACAGTATCTTAAAAGAGACCAACAACGGACCGACTAAACAAACACACTGAAAAGTATGCCACATTGCGACATAAACCTGGTCTCGTCAAACGCTGCAGTATAATCTCAACAACAGAAACTGGTCATTACTTTGCAAGAACATGCGAGTTTGTTTCTTTTATCAAGTACTGTACATCACACAGCACATTTCCCTTGCGGTGAAATGAGAGGAATCGCTTCGATTTCATTTCACTTGCGGTAAATTGGAAGGATGCGCCCACTATGTTCACGAAAACCGCGAATGCAGGCCAAAGAATAGGCAAAAATAACCTCCGAGGTGAACTTTACCTTTTATTCAGTCTCCTTCATTCACGTCAGTAAATTCATCGAATTCCGCCATTTTCTTCTGGACTAGCCATTGCTGATCAAATTCGTCGTCCGACTCTCCTCCATCTTCACATGTGCCCAAACGCAAATTCGTCTTCACACTACACAACCGCCTATGAATTGAACAGCCTACGTCAGCATAAATGTGGCTGATTTCACGGAAATTAATTTTCAGCGGAGTATAAAAAATATGAAGATATGATTTCTGTTCAGAGTTCCACAACCCAGGGAAGTACAATGCTGTACATAGCAAAATAATGGAATCGATTGATAAGGATATTTACGAATATTTAAGTTATTCTCACATCAAAGCTTAACGTTCGGATGAAGCGATTTATTTCATGCCGTTCCGGACGACATCAAAAATTTAATTTTAAAATTCAAGATACAGTATATACATATATAAAAGTATGCCGTGTGATCGGAGTTCGTGGAATACTCCTCAGGATTGCCAACCATTGGCACAGCAACACATTCCAGTGCTATAATGGACAGGAACAGATCTTGCTGATATTTCAAAGGGGAAAGGTGGTCTTTCAGTTATCTGTCAATTTTGTTATAAACATAATTCGGTCGTTAATTCGCCTTTATTCATGATACTAAAATTATCACAGTGGTATTAGCCATTACCAGAACAAACGGTTGAAGGGTACATGTACTTCTTGAGGATTTCTTGCAATTTAAAAAAATCATTAAATGCTCCTGGTAACCGTGATTTACACACAGAAAGTTTGAACAGCACTACTATCTTAAAAGAGACCAACAACGGACCGACTAAACAAACACACTGAAAAGTATGCCGCATTGCGACATAAACCTGGTCTCGTCAAACGCTGCAGTATAATCTCAACAACAGAAACTGGTCATTACTTTTCAACAACATGCGAGTTTGTTTCTTTTACGAAGTACATCACACAGCACATTTCCATTGCGGTGAAATGAGAGGGATCGCTTCGATTTCATTTCACTTGCGGTAAATTGGAAGGATGCGCCCACTATGTTCACGAAAACCGCGAATGCAGGCCAAAGAATAGGCAAAAATAACCTCCGAGGTGAACTTTACCTTTTATTCAGACTATCTGCATTGGTAATCACGGGTCCAGTCTTGTTCCCGCAATGCGGCTTTTTGTTGTCTCGCATGAAGTTGACGATCGGCAAGGAACACGCACCCTTCATCGGGTCCAACCCAGACGCTGCTCGGAACACGGCTTCAAAATCCACAGGCAGCAAGTCGTCAACGACGTCGTCGACACTGTCGACAGTGTCTGGATTACCCACATCGTCGTCGTTGTCCCCCGATCTGTAATCCCGCAAGCATCGGTTCGCGTATTCCACTAGGTCGTTCATCGACTTTTTCGGGTCACGTTTGCGCGACGACACATCCGCAGTTGCCGCGTGCGACGACGGAGACGACAGTCTGGGTATTTTTGGCTCAGGCCGGTTTTCCTTGCCAGGACTCGCGTCCATGCTGCGCTTATGCACTTCGCCGTGAACATTGTCCGAATCTGAGGTTCTCAGAGCACGGCCATCGCTTTGGGGGATCCTCAAACGCGGGGATCGGCGATCTTCGGCTTCCAACAACGAGTCTTTCCGCATGACGACTTCCGGCCAGAACGCACTTTTTTGTTGCATTCAGGCTTCACAGACTCGTCTGCAATTAAGAAGGAAGAAAAAATATAAAACTAATCAATACGAGATGAGCGTAAAAGAATTTACAATTTCCACGCGATCATATCTATTTCTAGGAGATGACCAACTTCGGCTTGGCCTACATACTCGAGATATTTTGGACCAACGACTCGTAGGTGTGACCTGAACAGTACAGTACTCAGAATCAAGAGTTTCTCATTCCTCTTCTCGCAAGAAGCCATGTTCAGAATTGTCAAGCCTCATTTTAGTGACATCATTTGTTCTGACAAAAATCGTGTCACCGCAAACACACCGACGAGATTTCCCCGCGTCCTCAATATTTTTCCAACGAAATTTCAACATGTCATGTACTTTTCGCGAAGTCCTTCCATTCATACAAAAGTATATGTTATTTTACTGACCAAATGTAATCTATGTTTTATGTGGTGACGATTAGCGTCGTTCCGTCCAAATTTTCCATTTTTATGCGGACTGCGCAGATTTTTTCCCCGTAAAAGTGGCTGACGATGATCAAGGGTGCGGGTTATGAACTTATGATCACGTAAATGTGGTGTGAATGCTGTTTCTGACCGTCTTCCGGACATTACGCGAACATTTTGGAATTACTCCAACGGTCGGAAGGATAATCCATCACATGCTTTCACGCGGCCCTCTAACTATCATTCCAGACATATTGGACCACGGGAGAGCAAAACATGAAACTTCACTCTAAAATTTCCGATGTCCGGTAAAAACTGACAACAGATAAAAACAGAATTCAATCAAGGGCTTTTAACAAAGCTACTGTTCAGAGACGAATGGCCTTTTCCCCTTTGAAATCTAGCAGTTCTATCTACAAAGCACACGACCTCACACAAATTCAGAATTCCGACGACTTCGACATTTTCATGGGGGAAACGAAACGTTGAAACCGAAAGTCCTTTCATTCGCTTTCAAAACAACGCATTCCGTCTTTATATTTTACAGTGACCTTTCCTCATGAGACACGCCATTCGATGTGAAAATCATCCAAATTCCTGAATTACACGCTGAAGAAGAAGAAAAATGAAAGAGGAATAAAATTCAACATTTCCATTCGACTTTTCACCAGGAGTCACTCGATGATTTGGTACAGAGCCACTCTTGACGGTGGGTCAGGAAAGAGGTTCATCAATTTTTGGGGTCGGTGACACATAATGAAAATACTGTATATCCTGAAATATTAAGACGTCACGGTAATCTTCAAGTACATTATTGATAACATCTGACTATTTGAGCTAGGTTCTGAATACTATAGTATATCATTCTACAGCTATGCGTTCGCAAGAATGATAATAGACTTACACTATAAACTGTATAAAGGAAAAAACTTGAATCATTTGACACTTATATGAAGCGATACAGACTGGCATCTTGATGAGCATTCCAAAAAATAACTTTACTTCGGGGGATTGAAGTCTCGACAGACAATTTCGATCAGCATACCAGGTTTCATCAGACCATGAAGGGAAGAGGAGATCTAAAAATATCCAAGAGAACCTTCCACCGAAAGGGCAAACACCTTTCAGAGTGAACTGAAAAAAAAAACTTCCCGGGTTCGAATAGATTTCCTTGAACTCCACCAAGAAAATATTCTATTCACGTGACCCAAAAGTCGAGTGCTCGTCAAGATACGAGTAATACAGTTTCGTGAATATATTTTCGATTAATAACTTCCAATCTAACCTAATTAATTTTTCGGCATCCCCGTTGAGAAAACGAAAAAAAAATGTTTTCATCCTCAAAAATTAGGATAAGTGCAGGCTCACTTTTTCCTTCGGACAAGAAGCCCTTCGAACGTAAGGAAGTGAGACAAATCGTTACGTTCCGGGTTGCCTTCAATCTCATGTAGATGAATTGCCTTCAAATAAATCTCTGCCTCACCAAGAAAGTCGCACACCCACCAGGAAAAAGACGAAAGACAAGTCCACAGGTAACTTCGCCCGATTCACACGGAAACGAGCTTATTCGTAAAAAGAATGAGCTTCTCTCGCATGTCGTGGGAATCGTAGCTAAGAATCGCGTGCTGGTAACACGTCCCAAGTTCGCAGGGACTTACTCGAGGGTTTCGCGAAGGAGACCTGATTCCATAAGAAAATCCTTGGAACCAGAGTGAATAGAGTATGCATCCGTGTTAACAAGGAAGGCTTGTACCAAATAGGGAAATATCGTACTGTATTCCAGCAGCACTTCAAGCTCACTTGCCACAGCTGCACGAAACTGCGTTCACAGCATAACGAACGTTCCACGATTCACTCTCGTGAATTCCACAGTATTTTTCCATGAGATCAAGATTTTTAACCTCGATAACTCGGATACTTCCTCAAGTCAAACGTCTCTGAATTTTCTTTGAAAACAATGAATCAAAAAAAACCTCCCGAACTCGGAGGCTATCCTACTCAAACCTCCTCAACTTGAATTGTTTGGAGACCTTTTTGGTTCATTTCATAGGCACAGGGGAGGGAAAAGCGATAAAAATTTAGCTTGATGTGCCTTGAAAGGGAATAGAAGACTAATTGGACAAATGAACCCTTGCCTTCCAGTTCAGAATTCTGTCTACTCATTTAGGAAACAATTCAAAGCCTAGAATATCACGAATTACGATTTCCTGCGATCCTTCTTTCCAGAAACTCGTTTTTTTTCTTTTTTGGTCTCTTGAGGTTCGGCGTGGATCAAAAATAGAAGCTTCACCGATTTTCTTCCAAAGAATCACTCGGTATGTCATTGAATTACAGCGGGTTTTCCACTCATTCCCACTTACGGATACACACAAAAAACATAGTTTTCGAGTTGTCCTGCGAGATTAGGACGGAGTGGTGCACTGAGCTAGAAGTAAGTTCTTCCATGTGGGGACCAAAGAAGACGACGAAAATACTGTAGGCACCAGGTAATTTGTTATATGCCATCACATCATGTTAAGGATACCTCACTCAACATCCTTCTATATACATCAAATTTCAATTTGCTTTCAGAGCAAGATGAGTCCGTTGATTCAACCAACCTTTCAAGTTTGGTCTCAAACTGAAACTTGCAGGGGAAAAATGAGGATTTCGGCTTCAGCGCCCTAGAGCGGAAAACATAGTAGACCTCTTCTACTAGGGAGATTGCGTAGGTCAGAGGAATCATGCGCTCTACATGCGAATCTTGAGATGCCCATACACATAACAAAACAAGCATGATGACTTTTCCTGAGCGAACAATTGCAGTTACAGCACGACTCGAATTCAAAAATGAGAGGATTCAACTTCTAAAACGACTGCATATCTACAGCTTCAACGCGAACATTCCGTAGCCAGAGTCACTCAGTCAACGCTGGGCGTGATGTTCTCTCAGTTCTCCAGTAAAGTACTGTACTCGAGTCGCATTCTCTAATCCTGCCATTTCCAGGTACATGTGAAGCTATTCCCCTCAAGTTCACGCAATCAGTTATGCATACATACGAAGATGGAACATTTAGCAACAGAGGAACAGGCTTTCGTTTTCTTCCAAGCTCCGGGCGTTTACTGATTTCTCTCAGCTCCGCCCTGGCAACTAACCATACTCGCGGACAGTCTTTACGACTCAAGCACAGTACCTAAGCCGAAATGTCCCCTTCCACCACAACTTTGAAGTACATAGACACAGTGTTTCCCGACAATTCAAAGCACCTCGAAAACAAATTTGGCCCGGAGTGAAACATACACACACACAGAAAAATAAGAAGTCCTCTGGCAGGGGCAATAACAACTTGCACACAACGAGTCGGCTCGCTGACTGAAACCGCTTGCTGAGGGAGACGGCGAGGCGAGGCGAGACATGCCACCGCGGTTCGACGCACTCCCTCTCTCGCATCGCATCTCTTTCTTCCCCTCTCCCAGCCAACCTCACACCCCGACTCCCTCCCGTTCGTTCCTCTGCGTGCCCCCATTCGCTTCCCCCAACAGTCCCGACAGCTGATGCGCTTCCAGCTCGTATAATGCTTTGTTCCGCGACTCCGGCGCACCCTCCACCGGCTTGCTGCTATCCGAACGAACGACGGACCGACCGACCAACCCCCCCCCCCCCCTTCCCGTCTCTTGCGCCCCCTCGTGTGTGCCTAATCAACTCTAGAGACGCTTCGAATGTATGCAGAAAAAGATGTGCGCGAATCAATTTCCTGTACAGTAACAGTATCGGTTTCAATCCGCGACAATACGAGGGATTCAGTCGCTGCCCATGACGATCGGCTCTCGAAGTGATTCATTCCCGTCAAACCAGGAGAATATCTCAGGAAGCACATGAAATTTCTCTGACGTGAAATCCGGAGAACGCGGGGATGGTAATGATTTCTGGCTCTAGCCCTGTGAATATAACCAGTGGGGTACAGTAGTAGAGGTGATACATACAGGTGGACTTCGCCTACAAAAACATTCAAGGGACCAAACAAATCATTATAGAGAGATTTTTGTTTTGAGAACCCACTTGTACAGTACCGTATTACCAAAGCTCTTTCATACATCTGTCTCTGCGAGGTATTCAGACAAATAAAACGTAGAAAGTAAATCTAAATCCCTTAAAAGTGATACAGTACACAAAATGCACAAAAATCACTACAGTAATTAACTGCTGAACCTTAAACATGATTCGATTGATTTGCAGGCAAAAGGGCGAAAGAAACATAGTTTCCACCAGGACGAAGTCATCAAATAAGAGACACTTGAGACCAAATCTCTTGAGCATTGATAACTAACCCGTCGCGTAATGCTGTAACATAAACGAAGTAGGCATAAGACGGGTTTATGTAGTTCTAAGCAAGGCATCAAGGTTCCTCCACAACTCGTGGTTTAAATGTTACTGGGATATTCCTGGTTCATTATCTCTCACTTATTTCTTACGAACTAACCAAGTATTGCATTTATTGTAATACAGTACCAAAACTAGGAGTCGTGCACAGAAACAGTGATTACTTTCAGAGAAAACATCTCAGCGTTCAAAAATTCTGCACAAGCCTCAGCAAACAATTAAAGCAAGCCGAACACCACAAA